TTTTTGTCTATGAACTATGCTCTAGTGTTAGAGTTTCTATAATATCGGTAATTTGATTTTTGAAAGATAAACTAGAAAACAGCAAGGAAAAATCATGTAATGATTTCCATAAAATTTCAAATGAATTTCTTTATATTTGAATTACGAAAAGAAATATTATTGTGTAATTGGTTTATTTTAAACATTCTGGGTTAGAGTACGGCCTCCGAGCCGAACTCGGATCATGCTTTGTTTAACCCTGAAATATTTTGAAATTTTAGCATGCCTGGGGCGAGCTGTATAATGTTACTGTTGGCAAAGAACCAAAAATTTAATGACTATTATTTTTTTGTTACTCAGTATAATTTTACTAAATTCGGTAGACGTTTTTGATGATGTAAGATACACCTATCAGCAAAAAACTAAGTTAAATAAACCAGTGGCGTACGGCATTGGCAACACCTTTATCTTCTCCAAACTTTACGCCACTGGCCAAAAACTTATTTGGACTACAATTTTAAAAATGTTCTTAAATAAATCATGTACTCTTGTCGAAAACTTATAAAAAATCAAAATTTCAAAATATAAAAATTTCAGAAATTCAAAATAAATTAAAATAAAGAGCTTCCACCTTTGTGTGCGAATATCTCGAAAATCAATCACTTTATAAGTTTCCAACCAAAACACTTAAATTATGTAAAAAAATATTAAAAAAATAAAATTATAACCCAAATAAGTTTGGACAGTGGCGTAAAAAATAGAAGAGATGAAGGTGTTACTTACCCATGCTGTACGCCACTGGCACAGTTTATTTAACTTATTTTTTTGCTAATAGGTCTCTGATGATATTAGAAACTTATGACAAATTTAATTACATTATACTAAGCAGTAGCGGCTTAGTACATATTTAGGTAAAAAACTTTTAGTTTCCGAAAATGCAAAAAAAAATGTTTCGTCTGGTCGTCTGTGTATATGTATGTCAGCACGATAACTCTAGAACGAAAATTCTGATTGACTTGCGGTTTTAATTTTCTTAAATAATTACTTCTAACTTAGAACCCCATTGATTTTCAGAATTTTCGGTTCATCCTAACTACTTTAATATTAATTTTCTTAAAATCCGCCTATGTATTTCTTATGTGACAATTTTAGGAATTCCAATCATTTCTAATGTCTAACATTCTTAACATTAAATAAATTGCAAACAATCTCTAACGACCTGTCAAACAACAGCTGTTGATAGTAAAGGTGAGATTTCTAAGGCGGGTTGCGACCTTCATACTTGCAACCATAGCCATTTTGGAGGCTATTTTTATTCGAAATTAGTCGCCAAGCCTGCCATTTTATGAAAAATATATAATCAGTTTCTTAAAAATGACTTTTTTATGGTAGTGCTAACTTAAGGGTACTAATATTTCGCTCCTAGCCACAAAAACACCTTCATCAAATTGACTGACTCTCTATCGCAACCCCATAGAATAATTAACCGGCCATTTTATTTGGCAAAAATCAAAATAATGCTTGGCTGTACCTGTCAAGTATCAAGATGTCAACTGTAATGTGTGAATGGCTCTTAAATGTCAAATTATTTAAAAATGTATGCTTATTTTGATATTTATTGCAAATAATTTGTAGTGTATCTCAATTCAGGCTTTCCATAAATAGAGATACAGCAAGACAAATAATATAATATTCTTATACAAAGCACTTTTTTATTATATAAAAGAGAGGTAGGATATAATGCTGGTTTTTTATAGATAATTTTAATTATACGATTTCTATTCGTATCCTGATCAACTTGAGCCTTTTTCCGCAGAGCGAAAACATCTTATAGTTACCCATATATTAACATCATATACTTATTGACAGTAACCCTGGTTACTAGAAAGTATTCATTATAACCATATATAACAACTAATAAATAAATATGTTTCACAGATCATGAAATATAAATTTTTAATTTTAAATGAAAATTAGTAGTACGAAAAATGTTGTATGCACTATGCACCTCGGCTTGTAAATGTATTTCCAAGTATCGAACACTTGCAAACTGTGTTCTCAACTTATAAATTACCTAGGTACAAACTTTGGGACAAAAATAACCATTATACAGAGTCTAACAATACTTGTACCTCACTTGATGTGATAAAGTAAGAAATTTAATGAAAACGGCCTATTAGTGACATTTATTTTATGTCAAATTAATTATGGGTTCTATCAAATACGTCAGTAACATTGTTTGGCATTACTAGTGACGTTATTAATTTCACTTTTAGCCGTCTGGTGACATCAATTTGGTCCCGTGGATACTGGTAGGTATTGTTGAAGATTTTGTGTGGATTAAATTTTACTTTAAATAGTAGGATAGATTGGCTAATCATTACTGAGATCATCTCGACTGTTTGACATCTTCACACCCAGGTTATGACTGCATTAAGATATAATTTATGATATTGTTCAACAGTAAAGTGTGATACTTCGTCAGTATTTGTCTTTAATTATTTATTTTATTTAGAATTTTATTTTAAATAATATGACTGGTCAAATAGGTATTTACGTATTTTAATAAGTCTAAAATGAAAACAATCCTTTGTATTTGGCTTTCGTCTTTCGACATCTTCGGTGATAATTATTGTCGGATGACACAATAACCTTTTGGTGTGGCACATGTTTAGGAGACAGTCTTCAGTCATTCACTATCAAGTCATTCGCTTCATTTTATTTTGTATTTTTTTTAGAAACTTTTATGTATTTTGTTACTTTACTAGGTCACAAAAAATTTGAAAAAGTGGGAAATGGTTACACAGCATAGATGAGCTTGTAAATAAATATAATTTAAAAAATAAATAAATAAGAAATAATAATAAAAAATAATAAAAAATAATAAAAAATAATAAAAATAATAAAAAATAATAAAAAATAATAAAAAATAATAAAAAATAATAAAAAATAATAAAAAATTATAAAAAATTATAAAAAATTATAAAAAATTATAAAAAATTATAAAAAATTATAAAAAATAATAAAAAATATTAAAAATAATACCTCTAGTATCTGTGGGTAATAGCAAATAAATCAACTTCGATCATAATAAATAATTGATAAATAGGTATTCTTGTAATTTTTTGTTTGTATCTGAAACTGGAATAGTCTATAGAAAGAGATACCCTAATCCTATCTATGATTCGATTGGAAGATTGTAGGCACTATTTTAAAAAATTAGTAGAAATACAGGATATAGAGAGTTTAACTGCTGGTATAAATTTTTTTTAACTTAAATAAATAAATAAAAAAAAAGGATTTAAGTTTGACGACCTCGGTGGCCGCGCATCTGAGCCACAAATTCGGAAAAAACTTCTATACTTTCCGACTAATGACAAGCCCAGATTTGGATTTTTAATTCTGTAACTTTCTTTATTGCATGGCTACCGAAGATATTTTTCTTATCTTTAAGTTATTTGAAAAAGTTATTTAAAAAAGTTATTTAAAAAAGTTATTTAAAAAAGTTATTTAAAAAAGTTATTTAAAAAAGTTATTTAAAAAAGTTATTTAAAAAAGTTATTTAAAAAAGTTATTTAAAAAAGTTATTTAAAAAAGTTATTTAAACAAGTTATTTAAAAAAATTATTTAAAAAAGTTATTTAAAAAAGTTATTGAAAAAAGTTATTTAAAAAAGTTATCTAAAAAAGTTATTTAAATTTAAAAAAGTTATTTAAATTTAAAAAAGTTATTTAAAAAAGTTATTTGAAAAAGTTATTTGAAAAAGTTATTTGAAAAAGTTATTTGAAAAAGTTATTTGAAAAAGTTATTTGAAAAAGTTATTTGAAAAAGTTATTTGAAAAAGTTATTTGAAAAAGTTATTTGAAAAAGTTATTTGATAAAGTTATTTGAAAAGGTTATTTGAAAAAGTTATTTGAAAAAGTTATTTGAAAAAGTTATTTGAAAAAGTTATTTGAAAAAGTTATTTGAAAAAGTTATTTGAAAAAGTTATTTGAAAAAGTTATTTGAAAAAGTTATTTGAAAAAGTTATTTGAAAAAGTTATTTGAAAAAGTTATTTGAAAAAGTTATTTGAAAAAGTTATTTGAAAAAGTTATTTGAAAAAGTTATTTGAAAAAGTTATTTGAAAAAGTTATTTGAAAAAGTTATTTGAAAAAGTTTTTTGAAAAAGTTATTTGAAAAAGTTATTTAAAAAAGTTATTTGATAAAGTTATTTAAAAAAGTTATTTGAAAAAGTTATTTGAAAAAGTCAATTGACAAAATGTATTTAAAAGAGTTGATTATTTTAATGACTTCAATGTACAGTATAAGTACCAACTTAGGAATCATCCTGTATAGTAGTGTTTATAGTGAAAATTTTGAAAAAGTTACCTGCGATTCTTGTTCAAATTTATTAGAATATACCTACTTAATATATCTCTGTCACAACTTCAACTTAAAAATAAATATGGCTCAATAATAAATGCTTCCCATTTTATAAAACCCCACTATTTTAATTTTACATTAATATGACAATAATTTTTTTGATTTTACTCATTGTTTATATAAAATTTTTAGTTAATTTTAAATAAAAAAAATGCGAATAATTCACGGAAACTCAATATAAAAACTCTATAGTTAGAAAATGTTAATTAAAACAATTATATTTAAAAAAAAAACACATTCCGTTCAAGTTTATATTTCTTTTAGTGTATTTGTTATTATTACATATTTATTAAAAATTAATATTGTTAATAATTTTATTCAACATATTTATTGATAAAAAAATTAGCTGAGCCTCTCTTGATTTTTATTTTACCCGCCTACATTTAAGAATAAACACAACAACATTAGCCGAAATATCCTCGAGATGATATAACAAAACATTTGCGGTATGCTTTACGTAGATACCCTATCTAGTGTTTATATATAAAACGAATCAATATTTTTGTATTGGACATGTTTTCAAATTATAGTGTGTTTGAAATTGCTTGATATGAATTAGTCTTTAAAATCGTTTCTACTAAATTTATAAAAAGACTTACTTTGAAGCAATAGGCACCAACGTCCAATCGTATCCCTGTAGGACCTTAGTCACTGCATCGTTGATCTCACTTTTGTCCAACTCCTGCGTACATTCCGTCGAAGATACGACACTTTGCAGAACTTGCGTCGGCGACGCTACCGTAGCCGGAGTCGCGACGCTTCCGACAGTCGACGTCGCGATGCTCACTGACGCTGACCGAGACGATATCGAACTGGACATCATTTTAGACAATCAACACTACTGAAAATCCACAATAATAATAACAACTACGTCTTTGTATTGTTGCGATGAATTGCGACTGACAGTTAAATCAAAAATCAAAGACTGCTTTGACCAGGACGCACTGAGACGGTTTGATAGATATAAGTTGGCCGTCTTGATCTCGACTCAAGACATGCTCCGTCTCTGTCGACGAGGTGCGAAGGTGTGAGCGCGGGAAAAGGAGGGAGAACGAGATCCGCGGCCAATGGACGTTGACGGGATGATGTTAAGTCCGCCTTGCGCGTCGCATTGGCTGGGATCGCCCAGGTTTTTTAATTAAATTGATTTTGAGTTTGGGTATGGATTTGACGGAGAAAGATGTATTTAATATGTAAAGAGATAATGACGATACGGATGGGTTTGCATAATAAAAATAATTGTGTCTATATTATGACACTATAAACTGATAATTTAAAGAATAGTCTTATACCATGGGTGTCGCAGGTGGGGGTTAAAGCAAAGGGACCAGAAACCCCCTTTGGAAAAGAACCTTGCAGAGTCCTTATGAAGAAATAGGGTGACTTCGCCGATTTCCGCCCAGTTACGGTCAATTTTTGAAATTGCAATTGTTGGTTGTTATACAAAAATAAAATTCTCTGTTTATTTAGTATATAGAGAATGGCCTTCTAGCAAGCTGAGTTAGTTATTCTTTATATTACTGTCAACAATATATATGTGTATTTTTAAGATCGATTGAAACCAATAACATTCAGTAGAGATTAGTTATATAGGTAATAGCACTCGACTAGGCAACATTATAATTACGGCTCTTTTAATAAATGAACTATAAAGGATATTCACTGTGTGTTTAATATAAGAACCTACCATACCTTCCAACAGCAATAAATAAACAAGTTTTTCCATTAAGCTAGTTACTCCTGTTTGCTAATACCAATGTATAGTCCAGGAAACATTAGATATTTCTTAAAGTTTGAATTTAATGAAAATATGTATTTTTAAACAAAATTTGACTCAAGTAAGTAGAATTTTAGTTATATGTATATTTACTATGTAACGAAAAATATACAGGGCGTTTTAAAAAAGGTGGCCCACTGTTAGAAAAAAAAGTGGGGTTAGGTTGTTGTAACGGCATCCATATTTGAGCAGGGGCGGTTTCTCCATTGGTTCATTTGTACAGTGAACACCCCACCCCGTTCAATTTCATAAAAACACATTATTTTAAAATTACATAAATAATATAAAAATATAAATTTAATTTTAATATTTTTATTTTCATACGTGTTAATCTATATTTTTTGGTACGTCATTGCTCTCTGGCATCCGAATCCATATAGCTAAAAAGAGAAAACAACACGCCAACAGATCCTTCAAACTGTCAAAAAACACATTAATTGGCGCGCCGCTCACAAACAAGGTTGCTAAGTCTAGTACAATTCACAAATGTACTAGATGTAGTACATTCTGCGTGCATCAGTGTTCACGTGTAAATCATATATTTATTTTGGGTTCGTTATCAATAAAGACCCCCTTTTTTCCTCTTCAATGAATTTAGATGTCACTGCAAATAGAATTCGAAAAAACTGGTACATTTAAGGAATCTGGTACATTTTTTAGACAATCTGGTACATAACAAAAACATATTATGGCAACACTGTACCAAATCAAACAAACTGTCGTCCCGTCATCCGTCATTTCTCGACTATGAAACGGTATGAAACTTTAAATAAAACCCCGGTGAATGACAATAATTTATTGACTTTCATCGTAAATAAAACTGATTATTTTATTTATTATCATTTAAAAAAATGTATTTAATTAAGAATTGTGACATTAATAAATTGAAAATATGTGTTTTCAACGATTGTTCCCGAAAAGGCAAGGTAAATAAAAGTATTTTTAAAGTTGTTGTTTTATTTATTATTATTATCATCAAGTTTTACGAATCTAATTTGTTTTATATTTTGTTTCAGTCTCTAAGACCATTTTAAGACTTCTTTAAAATAGTCTATTTTGTATCCAATTGTAAATACTATGAAGTAAGAAGTAAGCAAAAAATTTACAATTTTTTTTCCCACAAAAACCGCTAAAAGAAAAAATTTAATTATTCTGATAAAGTAACTAGGTACATCATTATGGAAACGTACAATAAACGACGTTTGATAAAGATAAAGACACAAATGGTTTTTCACTTTAAAAGTCTGAAACGTAAAAATGGATCAACCACACTGAAAAAATGAAATGGTTAAATGAACAAATAAAAAGTTGTGTCAACCGTTTCCGATGCTCATATATGGCGGACCTTCTGCATGTATTGGTTTAACCATAAAATAATGTTGAATTAATGATGGTTCCTTTAATAGTTTACATACTTCGTGCAAAGTACAACTATTTATTGCAACAAAGATGGAAAAGGTTACACGAACAATTTTAAAATGTTGTTTAGTGGAATACGTGTAGTTCCTTTAACCTTTCCACCATTAACCCAACCAATATTCACTGTCCACTGAAGCACTAGTAAACGTTGGAATAACACAATTAGGGGGTTGAATGTACGTCTTAAAATCACAAATCAACATTTAATTACATATTGGAAGAACACTGTAACTTGTTGAATTAAATACCAACAAATAGTTAAATGAACGTTGTAAACTGTTAAGTAAAATACTTTACACGTGTTGATTTGACTTTAAATTATGTACAGGGTGGGCAAATTTCGATGTTTTAATAGAGAATCTGGTTAACTATAAATGGTATGGAAAAATGGATCTCCCATCCTCAATATCTTTTTCCGAGAAAAACTTGCCATTTTCAAAAATTGGATATTGTCTTTTGTTTTCGAGTTATAAACAAAAGTTCGTTTTTGCAAATTTTGATTATATGCCATTTCTTGCTTATTTATGAAATTAGAAGAAAATAATTTATACGTTCTTCAGGCACTTTTTTGATAATAATCCAGTGGCGTAGTTAATTTTTTTTTTAAATACAACTTTATGCTATAACTCGAATTTGATGAATTAAAAAAAAAATGACTACGCCACTGGATTCTTATTAAAAAAGTGCCTAAAGAAGGTTTACATTATTTTCTTTCACTTTTATAAATAAGCGAGATAATGCCATATAAGGAAAATTTGAAAAAAACAAACTTTTGTTTATAACTCGAAAACAAAAGACAATATACAATTTTTGAAAATGCCATTTTTCCGTACCATTTCTAGTTAACGAGATTATCTATTAAAACATCGAAATTTGCGCACCCTGTACTACAATGGGATGTCTGTTTATTTTTGCACCCTATCTTATATACAGGGCCCAGTTAATGGAATACTTGGTAATTACTGTAGTTAGAAAAAGTGTAAATACCAAAGTTGTGTAGTCTTTTATTATCTTTTTATATCTATATATCTTTTTTTAACCATTTTATTGTATATTGGGAAGAAATTAATTTCATAAAATGTCAATGAAAATCTTTTTTATAAATAAATTTTTTATTTAAGTACAAATAAACTTTTTACCACTTGAAACAGTGTGGAAAAACAGAGGTTTTATATTATTAAGTTCTAAATATTTGCACACAAACAGTTCGTCCATATCTTGTATTTCATAAGCATGTAAATATGTATTTAAAGAAACAGTTTCGAACTTTCTTAAAATAAAAAAAAAATATTAACTTGTTTATAAACTAAAACAAACAAAATTTTCCCAAACAATGGCGTCATTATCAAAACTTAACATCAAACTTTGATCACTATAATATTTTGTACCAGATATTTTAACATACTTAGCTGCAAATGAATTTTCTGCCACTTCTTGTCCGTAACTGGTCAAGAAAAAAATGTACTCCTTGCAAAGATTAGAAAACGAAATATTTTCAGAACCATATTCAAGGTGTCTTGACAAGTTTTTATTAGCTAAAATTCTGCATCAAAATACTAACTGATTTTTCATAGCAAGGGTATAAGTAAGTAATATTTTTTCGAGATGAACAAATTATTGCATCTTATTTAAATTGTCGATGATGACCTTCATATCTGATTGATGAAATGCTACTTAGAGGTCCTATGAATTTAAGCAATCTTGGGTAATGAATTAGGAAGTGGTGTTTAGGTTTTAGTTCTCCAAAATGCTCTATGTATAGTTCATGGTGCTCATGAATCAAACATTGCAAATAACCTGAAAATTCGGACACAACTACTTGACTTTCTAAAATTGGGTACCTGATCTCCTATTATTAACCCAAGATATTTCATTAGTGTTTTCATTTCAGAGGCAGACATAATTAGGTGTTTTTTCTGTGTGTCTTTTAAGAATAAGTGACGGCTTATTATTATCATAAAAGGTAAAAAATCTAATTCTATTATTGAGCACATCAAAAGTTAAATATTTGTCGACAAAAATTAGTTTATAGAGTATTTTCCCTAAATCGTATCGACATACACCTTCATAAATATCATGCATTATATCGCAAGACAAATTTTGGGTCAAATGAAAATTCCACACACACTCGCCTAATACACCATTGGCCAGGTTATTAAAATCATATTCATAATTTGTGGCATTTCTTAAAAATGCGCTATCCTCTAAAGTTTGTTTTTGAGTTATAGCCTTATCTGCTCTAAAAATCTGCAAAAATGATTAGAACTAAAGCTTTCAGTTAAGCCCATAAGTGTGTGAAACCCAAGATTATCACCAAGAATAAGACATACCCAAAAGCAAATTGTTTTAGAAACACCATTTACCACAATTGTAAGTCCGTGTTCATACAAATATTTAAAATCTTCAATGACCCTCCTAAAAACTGCTTTATTCCCAAATAACTTTAAATCACTAGAATGATGAAATGATGCCAAGAATATATTTTCCAGCTGAGACGAACACTCTGGTGGCAAGCAAGCTAAACTAAAATATAAAGCACCAATTTTGTGAACGCCAGCATGACTGCCCAGAGGATTTCCTACTTCAAAGTCGTCCATATATAATAAAATAGGCAATACTAATTTTGAATCAAATTTGGTTTTCATTTAAGCCCAAAATTGTCCCTGCATGATATTGCTAATAACTGGTTCATTTGGCATCTCAAAAATATAAGCCATGATAGTCGTACACAGTTGGTATTTCTAAAAAGGCTTTTAAAGTTTGATAAACCGGTACATATTGTATATGACAGTCTGCCATATCGACAATTATGGTATTATTTACTTTCTTATCATTTCTGCTTTGACCAATAAATAAACGTTGAA